GTCGCGCCGCGGGTTAATACAGATGTATAGGGTGTTTTACAAATTGGCAGTCGGCCAGGCTCACGTTGAACGAGTAGCTCGTTGCTAACGAACACAACAGATGTTACGGGACTCGCTCTTTCGCAGTATATATATCGCGTGACGATGAAGAATCGCGTTGCTTCCTTCCTTCGCGCAGTCGTTACTTTTTTAAGGCGAACGCGGTGAATAATGCTCGAGAAACATCGTCGGACAGTTACAGCGGGTTTTCCTGTTAATAAACATTACATCGCCCGTTACTTCTCTCTGCCGAGTCGGTCCTAAAAGTGCACATTCTTGCGAGTACTTGAAGTATATAGCTTCGGTAAAAGAATGTTAGAATGAGACGAGCTCTTTGAATAATTACGTCAGTCAACGTATATAATAGGAGTGTAATTACAATTAGGTGTGTCACATGGAAATTACATTAGTAGTATTGCCGAAATTTTACATACAGCTACTATGCATGTACACCCAGCGATATTATATTATTAATAACGTCGTTGCGGGAATAATGAATGTAGCCGATAATAGATATAAAATAACTGCATAATGCGTATGACATGCGTGTACACATGTCTCGTTATTAATAGAATCATTAATTAAATTGGTTACATTAATAATTATTTAATGTTTACAAAGCGCCTGCCAATTATATTATAAAGTAACATTTCGCCCCTGTCACCAAATTATGTTACGAAATTACACGACGCATAAATTATCGATAGCCACGTTAATTTGATACAATTATCCTTTGTGCTTAAGGACGTTCCTTTCAACGTAAGTTTGACCTGCACATACAAAAACGTAAACTGTAAGTAAATTTACCAATCATAATAGATTATTCTCCTTACAGTTGAAGGATAATCTATTGTGATCGACCAATTTGCTTATTGCTTAAGTTTTTATACGTACCGTAAGCCAAACTCACGTCGAAAGGATCGTCCTCCTTAAATACACAGGATAATTGTATTAAATTAACAGTGCTATAACTTATCCGTCATATAATTTCGTAACATAATTTGGTGACATGGGCAAAATGTTATTTTATAATAAACATTACAGTCGATTATTCTTCGGCTGTAAAGAGAATAATCGATTGTGATTGATTGCTTACTACTTAAGTCTTAATGGTCAGACAGAGAAAAATAATTTGCTGGCACAGTAAATTTTATGCTGTCGCAGCCAAGTCTGTCCGTTACTATGTGGTCAGCAAAAAAACGATATGTAAAGAGGACTAATTGCCATTCGCTGGATTATTTTGCTGAATCTATAAATTATTTTGCCGTAAGAACAAATTGGTAAATTTGGGAAAATACTATTTTGTTCTAGCAGTAAATTACTATGTATTAAGGGCAAATTCACTCGGCAGAATATTTTCTATCCTGACCACAAAACTGTTTCCGCTCTAATTCGTAAAAAAAATGAATTCGTTAATTTGGTTATGCCAACTGTAATAAATTTTATCGCTGTCGCAACGAATATGCAGTATCAACGATGATTTCTCTACAACAGGAAAATAATTTTTCTTTCTATATGCACTTCCGTCTGCCACAGGGCTCTTTCTTTGCGCAGTACAATATATTCGCGAGTCTCTATCGCGCGGCTACTTTCTCACGACGTCTATTGCGAGTGCCTTTGAGGACTCCGCGATTATTCAGCTTTCTATTATTCTTCTCCTCCCTCTCCTTTCCCCTCTTTCTTCTGCGATTGTACATCTCGGCTCTTTCAGCTTTACGGCCGGCTCGCCTCGGCTTTTCGCTCTTCAGTGCTTTCGTTTGACGAGATCGAATTAATTAAGCGACGCAAAGTAAAGCGCCAAATAAAATTCTCCGGTTAAAGAGAGACGATATGTATACCCGTCTCTTTGGGTTAAACCTATTTTCCAGGAGA